AGTAAGCTCACCTGACAACCTGAGCGATTTAGCAAATTTTCAAATATTTATCTCGGAATTAGTGCACCACTAATAATTTTGACATGTTAAATTGACGACATGAATTTATAATGTAGTTAGACCTACAATCGACTTGATAATGACCCAGAACGGATCGAAACGTCGTCGTCTCCTCATCTTCTGGTCTGTGGTTTGGTCCTCGTAGTTAGACCTAGTTTTACCTATGTAATGCAGTATATGGGAATAATCGGCCTGTTATGGTTAGGTTCCAAAGTTACTTTTAATTGAAATTATGGACAATCCTTATCATGTATATTATCATGTAATTATCATTCCATAAGATTTATTATGGTATTACATAAGAAAATTCGGTTAATTAGGCAACTCTGGCTATGATGTGCACACACACACACACACACACACACACACACACACATACACACACATACACACACATATATATATATATATATATATATATATATATATATATATATATATATATATATATATATATATATATATATATATATATATATATATATAATATCACCTTTCCAGGAGTATATAGTATGCTCCTTTTGCAACACACAAAGGTTAAGAAATTCCTCCTTAAAATCAAATTCACATATATAGAACACCAGACACCACCGCCACACCCCAGCACACTAGAGAGACATTGTTCTCCCCATAAACATTGGCTCTACACCTGGAGTGCCGTCATGATAGTCCACCAGAAGTCAGGTGAGTGTCCAGCAGGGTGATGTGGTGGTGGGAGTGACCTACCTGGCCATACTCCCTGTGACCATGTGACTTGGAATGGCTCCTACATAGCTAACACCGGGCATTATTCGACCCCCCCTCTCATGACCGACCACCTTGTCTGCTGTGGCGGTAATGAGGGAGGGTGACAGGGCGAGAGAGAGAGAGAGAGAGAGAGAGAGAGAGAGAGAGAGAGAGAGAGAGAGAGAGAGAGAGAGAGAGAGAGAGAGAGAGAGAGAGAGAGAGTACATGACAAGACATGAATTAGAGGATAGAAAAGACAGACAGCTGAACATCTATAGATCCTGCAGATACTAATTCGAATCTGCTGTGAATGTAAATCAATTATCTACACTGCTACTGACTAATGTTTATGTGGATTAAAATCAGGATAGCAAAGTGAAATTTATACAACTCGTACCGCTTCCACAAATTGAGTTTACCTGGCCCATCCAGTAGTTTCTTAAATTTATGTATTGAATTTGCACCTATGACATTGGCTGAAAGTTTATTCTATGGTTCTACAGATCTTGTAGGCAAAGAAACCGTTTGTCGCACGTTTATACTGTACATACTTCATATCTTTCATGCTTTCGTTTTTCGTAACCTTTTCTTCTTGAAAGGAAACAAGTTTAGATCTCTGAGTCTTTTATAATATTATTAATTTCCTTTGTGATGGAATTACTTGTGTAGGTTTTTCATTTCGCTCTCTTAAACTTGTCCTCATCTTGTTGTGTGTAATTAGGATATCAAATCTAAATAACGTATTCCAGGCGAGGTCTAACACACGTATGATGTGTAAGACATTAAACACATCCTGTCAATAAAGTAAACTTAGGTAATATTAAAAATACCTGCATCATGGCGTGCAGCTGTTCCTGAAGTGGGAATGAAACATACAGTAGAATGAGAACTTCTCCAAGGGGCTGAATGGATGCTGGCCGGTATTAGTCTTCTCTAGAGAGGCATAAGGAAAAGGAAGTATGTAAAAATTTTGCATTTCGCTTGTTGGTTATAGAAGGCCCTGCGTATTGTTGAATAACATCTTGAGACAACACAGGAATGGGGTTACATAACGCAGTATCCATTTGCATGTATTGATTAAAAAGGCAGTTTGACTGTTCAAATCAATATGAGAACAATATGAGAATATGAAAATGTAAATGTCATCTCGTCATCGTATCGTGATGTCATCTCGATGACCATGGGTATCAGTCGTTGAGATGTAAGTCCTGTCCATATTATATACTCAGACTTCGATAAAGCACTCAGGAGAGTGCGAAAGACTTGGAAATAAGTGCGAAATGGGACATTTACATAACTGAAATAATAATCATACTCGTATTTTGGGTAAAAAGTTCGGATAGTTTTAAGTGAGACAGGAATGAGTGAGTTCAGCCTACAGTGCCTGACTGACAGAAAGGACAGTCATACTCTCACACTGGCTTACAGTTGAAGGCAGACAGTTATATTCTCAGACTGTCATATAGTGCCAGTCTGACAAAGAATATTGTGCTCAGGCAACTGTGATATTCGTGGAGTATAACATAGGTTCCACATTGCCAGTCTGATAGAAAATAAGGTAAATGAAACTCTTTGTTACAAGGACATTTATTTAATTCACCTTTCTGTCATTGTTATTACAATAATATTACTATTCAAAATATTTACACACAAGTAAAATAGGGGGAGAAGGAAGAGGGAGAGTGGAAGGGGGGGTGGGGGGGCGGAATTAGGGGAATGACGCCCCTTTCCTCACGTCCTCAAATGCACTGACCTGGAATCGTGGCATTCGTGGCGATGCCACCTCCTCATGTTTATCTATGCACGCCATACATCACCACTCCCAGTTGATTCGTCATTCATCACCACCTACAGCCGATCCGTCATTCATCACCGTATACAGCTGATCTGTCATTAATCGCCACGTACAGCTGATCTGACATTAATCTATTATTTATTCCCACGTACAGCTTATCCGTCATTCACCGCCACGTACAGCTGATCCGTCATTCACTGCCACGTACACTACCATTCATCTCAAGAATCAATTCGCTTCCATTTATTTCAGCCACTCATGCGTCATTCCGGAGAGACCCGTCCTGGTACACGGGCCAAGGAACGTGTCAGTCACCTTCAGTACAACTTTGTGACATTTTTCGTTTGTATTTATTACCCTGACGTTTAAGGTTATTATCCCATTTAGATTTATACCATTTAGATTTATCCCATTTTTTATCCCATTATTTAATCTCTTACTGTGAGTTGTCATTTGAGATGCTCTGAGGTGAAAAATAATTTGCAACTGAAGCTTCCATGTGTTAATGCATTGCTGTCAATTATAATTGTTGGTGTGTTTTGCCATATCCTTAGACCATAACTTGAGTTGCTTTCGCAACAAATTACTTTTGCAGCCGCATTTACGGTTGCTGTAACGATGATTCTTGCATATTTACAATTGCAGTCCGTAATGCTCATGTCATAAATTATTAGCAATATACGCAAGAAATATTAGCTATTATCATTAGAAATCTAAATGATCAAATCTTTGAGCATCAAGTTATTGCTGCATTGTGGGCTGACGGCGTTATTGTGCTGACGTCACTAATGTCACTCTGACGTCACTACTGTGTGGACGTCACTATTGCCTAGTGGTGGAGTCGGGTGTTTGAGAGGAGCTTCACCACCGAGACATTTACACAGCTTCCCGGGCGCCACAAGAGCATCTGGAGGATGTCTTTCTCCTCCGGAAAGAATTTTACCATTACGTGTACGTGCGTTCGCGTGTGTATGTATAAAGCACAAACACGAAATAATCATCATATTTACCTAAAAAGAATCTGTCTCTGAACATCTTCGAATATATTTTAGTTCTTAATATCTTCCCACTCTAGATCCCTCCACAAAAAAAAGAGTTAAAGATAATAAGGACTCCAGACTATTACAAAATTTTAGAATCCTTAAACCCGAATTCCTGGGAAGAATTTTTTTTTCCTCTCGTACCAACTTTGAAATGAAGAGAGAAAAACGAAGACTTCGAAAAGATTTCGGGACGGAGACAGCGGCAGGCGGGTAAGGGAGCGTCCGGAAGAAACCGGTTTCCCTTGAGAACACTTTTAAGGCTACCTCCTTCTGGAACCGGTTTGGATAGTATAGGTAACAGGCAAGTTATTTATCGAACCCGGGGAACGTTGTATAGCAACCAGAAGCGCTCTACGAGAACCAACACAGGAAACGTTCTACGAGAACCAGAAACGTTCTACGAAAACTAGAAACGTTTTAGGAGAGTATGACAAGGTCTGTGAGAACTAAAAAAGAAGCTTCTACCAGAAATTAAAACGTACTTTGAGACGTTTCTGTTTAACGGAACAGAAATGTTCAACGGGAACTAAAAACGTGCATACCGAAAGTATTCTTTTGGCTTCGGACTCAATCACAAAAATTTCGGTGGGAATTTTCTTTAAAAACTGGGCTCTTGGAGTAATAGAGAACCGAGAACTCTTTGGAACCCAAAGAGGACTGAACTTCAGTTTCCACATTGAAAATCTGAAAATTTTCTTCAGCTATTTGTAATTTTCTTTTGAAGAACGGAAGGCTTGTTTGTGTAGTAAGGTAATAAGTGGACTTAATGTTCAACTACAAATCTTATTTAATTAATCATAAGTCAGTCTGTCATGGCTGAAAAGCTTAGATTTATATTGAAAATTCTTTATTTATTTATCTTGTTGTAAGGAAGCTGTAGTGCAGTGACCTGTGGCTGGCTTAGTGAGACCTCGATAAGCCTCGCAGGCTTCCAGTCCCTGACTGTGGGAAGCTAAATCATACAGTTTTACAAATGACAGTTATTTTTGTTCTCTTTTAATATTTTCTAAATTTGAACCAAATTTTAAGAAGGTTGTAAGCGTTTGTTTTTTCTAACTTTATTGACATTTTTTTTACAACATTTTATTTGCCTTTTAGCAAATATTTTCCCTATCTTTGGTAATATTTTTTAAATTATTTGGATATTTATGTATTGATTTTACTTTTAATCAAGTGAAAATTATCAACAAATTGTGTTAACTGCCATCTCTTCCACTGAGCAAACACCCCCCCCATCACATCCACACAGTACACACACAATCACATCCACACAGTACACACACCATCACATCCACACAGTACACACACCATCACATCCACACAGTACACACACCATCACATCCACACAGTACACACACCATCACATCCAACACAGTACACACACCATCACATCCACACAGTACACACACCATCACATCCACACAGTACACACACCATCACATCCAACACCATAACCTAAGGAAGATCCCACAATTTACCGCCAGATCTCCCACCTTCACCAGGAAAGATCCATCGAAAGAATTTAGTGTCAGTGAGGAAGGGGGGGAATGGGGAAATTTGGGAAGGGGGGTTTATAATCCCGGAGAAAACGTATAAATTATTGCTGACAACTTTGACAACTAAACCACGCATGTCCCCCCCTTATCATCGGCGACCTTATGTGAAGAGGTCATGGTAGGGTCAGACCGGAGCTTATGACTATGGGAGAGAGGGAGTTAGGTCAGCTACACTACCACGGCACGAGGGTAGAGAGAGAGAAGGGAGGGGGAGAATGATGGCTGATGGGGCAGGGGGGATGGGCATGAAAGTGGAGGACGTCTACAGCGATCTGAGGGAATATGGAGAGGGGATCATCTGGAATGACTGGCAACAACAGTTTTCATCACGGCCTCTAGCCCAAAAGTCATCAACTCTGGCCATGTATCACTAGCCTTGGCCCATGTTTCACTAGCCTTGGCCCATGTTTTACAAGTCTTGGCCCACATCACACTAACATTGGCCTACATTTCACTATCTTTAACCCAGGTTTCACTAGCCTTGGCCCAAGTTTTACTGTCTTTTCCTCGTACTATTGAGACGAATTCGGGCAGCAAAGTGAACTGTTCTGAAGGAAGCCCACTTGCCGCTCGTTGAGTTTGCCTCGATAGCATACAGCTTAACCTGACTTCGAGCCATGTAGTGATACTTGATTTTCTGCTCCATATCATGGGTCCATTCAGTACTGGGCCACATCTGGCGGCGCAGCAGGAGAAAAATAGCTCAACACATCTCGTCAAACCATTATTACTTCGCTTCACACTGGAACACAAAACTTATCAAACTTGACACTGTCGAGCGTATCTGGGATCCTCTGGGTGATGTAATGATACGGGGCCACATGTGAAACCTCATCAACTGATACTACACCTGGAACTCTAGGCCACAATTGGCACTCTATGCCACATACGCACATGAACAGCCCGGAGTCGGCGAAGTAAGACAGGCGGCGCACCATACAGTGGTTCAGGACAAATTTAAGAACGGCCTGAAGATTTCCGGGCTTTGTCTGTCACTGTCTCTCATGGCACTGTTCTGGCACACGCTCAGCACTGCCACCGACAGTGATACTCAGCAAGACCATATCTTAACACTCTGTCAGTGACTCCCGAGGGCAACAGGGACATCTTGTGGGTCACACTGGTTAGAGGGAAGAAAGGATTCTTACTGTAACACACTAAGAGGGTGAGAGAGGGGAGGGTTGAGGCCCACTCCAGAACAGTCCACCATCCTCACCACCACCCGAGGAGGGGGTGGGAGGGTGCCACCTTACAGTAGAGATCATGTGTCCAGACGCTAAACATGTTGGCATGTTGCTGCATGTGGTCGTCGTTGGTGGGTGGCTCAGCAGTGTGTACCCGGCTGGCGCACAGCCGCCTGCGCTGGGGCTCAGCTCAGCTGGTAGTACTCGGGGGCGAAGTCGTTGGCTAGATTAGTTAGGAAGTTGAAGTCTGAGGAATTACTGTTTTCACTTGGCGCTGTGCTGCCGCTGGTGCCGCCGCCCGTGCCTCCGCCTGTGCCTCCGCCGCCGCCCCCGCCACCACCGCCACTTTGCTCGAAGAAGTTAAAAGTAAAATTGAGGTCGTGTTCGTGCTGCTGGTGGTGATACTGTTGGTCTTGGTAAGCGACGCCCTCGCTCCCCGCGCCCCCGTTTGCACTGTTGTAGTACCCGCCGCCCTGAGTCATGTTGCCCATGTTGGTCATGTTGGCCGCGTTGTTGGTGGCCATTGTGTTCATTGCTGCGCCCTTCTCTGTGTGCTCGTAGCCGGTGGCGCCACACATGCCGTAGGAGTCGTAGTACTGCTGGGCGGCAGTGTCGCCCTGCCCGCTACACGCGTACATGCCGCCGCTGCTGTACATGTAGTTGTAGCCGGAGTAGCCGTCACCACACATCATGTTGTTGTTATAGTAGTGGCGGTTGTAGCTGTACCCGTCCATGCCGTAGCTGCCGTTGTACATGTGCTGGCCCCGTTGTTGTTGCTGTTGCTGCTGTTGGTGCTGTTGGGCGCACGTGTAGTCGTAGCCGTGAGCATTGGAGGCGCGGTTAGGGGTGTTGGGCACGAACTGGGGGGGCGTGGCGCGACCCATGCCCCGGTATTGGTCTACCCACGAGCCCCGGTACGCCCCAGGGTACGAACTGGACACTCCGCGCCCTTTATTGTCCCCACTGGCGACGCTGCTGGCGCTGCTGCAGTAGGAGAAAGTGGAGCCTCTGCCAGCGCCCCCACGCCCCCCGCTGCCGCTACCGAAGCCGTGTAGCGCGACGGAACTGGTGGTGGAGGCGGCGGCGGTGGTGGTGGCTGTGAGGGGTGCCGCCCTGGCCGAGGTGATGGGCGGGGTAGTGAGTGCCGGCGACCCTGGCACTCCTCGTGCCCCGGTCAGATGGGCGGGCGAGGCAGTGGGCGTGGCAGGGGTGAGGGGCGGGGTGGCGCGTGGAATAGGCGGCGTATTCAGGGGTGCCGTGTCCTGTGTGCCACCATCTTTTATACTGATACTTTCTCCGGAGAAACCCAGAGGCCCCGGATACCTGAGGCTTCCCCCGTCCTCACACTTGACCTTGCCAGGGTCTAGCGACGGGGCAGTGGCACAGTTACCCCTTGGCGGCACCCCTGAGGCAGGCGGCACCCCACCGGCGGCGGCACTGGGCAGCGGCAGGCTGTCGTTGCTCTCCTCCTTTTTGACGTCGGAGGAACACATACTGTCGGGCGACGACGGCACCGATTTGGAATTGTTGTTGGCAGCGTCGTCGACCCCCGAACGCGGCTCTCCGTCCCGCTTCTTATCCGGCTCGTCACTCTTGCTCATCGCCTGTCGCTTGTGCTTCATGCGCCGGTTCTGGAACCACACCTTCACCTGCGGAAAAGGAATTCGGGGTTAATTCAGTTCGGGGCCAAACAACCCCATCTGCACAAAAGATGAGCAAGGAACAAATGGATAGATAATGATGAGGAGAAAACGGAAGGGATAGGAGGACAAGGACAGGAGCTGGGATACGGACATAACTGAGCTTAAAAACCACATTGACAGAAACTGTTGTTGTTGTTACAGATTCAGCTACTTGGAACATAAGGAACATAAAGTTCCAAGTAGCACGGGCTATGGTGAGCCCGTAGTGAAGTACAAAAACTAAAGCAGAGTTATGACCCATACTAAGATGAAGAACCATTAGGACCGGCACACCTTTAGGCCTGGTCGACGACCGGGCCGCGGGGACGCTAAGCCCCGGAAGCACCTCAAGGTAACCTCAAGGTAAGGTACCTTGAGGTGCTTTCGGGGTTTAGCGTCCCCTCGGCCCGGTCGTCGACCAGGCCTCCTGGTTGCTGGACTGGTCAACCAGGCTGTTGGACGCGGCTGCTCGCAGCCTGGCGTATGAGTCACAGCCTGGTTGATCAGGTAAGCGAGGATTGAGGTGGTTGTAGCCTAATGGGGCGGCTGCCAGCTCCAAATTAGAAAAAAAAAAACGTTTGGGTGTGACTTCGCAATAAGTATTCTTTCATTGTAAATTCTATTGACACCATAAATGCTTTGACAACATGAATACTATTAACTGCCCAGAGCATATAGTTTGGAGTAATTGATGCATGAATAGTCTATAAACAGCCAATATTGCCGTTACATGTATCATCTTTGGAGGTGGAAAGTAACGACCTCTTAATTATTTTAGTTTTCTTAATTGGTAATTGTTTTAGTAAAAGTAAAGCTGACTGCCTTTAATAACAAGAAATAATTAATAGTGTTTTTTTATAGAATAAAGGACATAACCTGAAACTGCAAGTTCTTTTTTATTTCTTTGTTTAGTAATTTTTAAATTAATACTACTCCTATTACTTGTACCACTGCTTGCACGGCTATCAGTAATCTAGATTTTCTACTGCTAATATTGCTGGTAGTACGACTATAAAGACTTCTTACTAGAAATAATACTGGCCTAATAATGACAATAAATATATCAATATCAATAACAAAAGACAGAAATATAAAATATAAAAATAATTTTAATTAATGTCAATAACGAAATATTAATGATTATTATTATTTTCATTATTATTATCAGCAGAGTTGTACAATTACTTTCATCATAATTAGCATTGCCATTTATTACTATTATTATAATAATTATTTACACTATTATAATCTTGTATTTATGTAGAGTCAAGAATTTGAGGATAACAACAATACTGATAATAAATTTACTACTACCCTACTTCTACTACTATTGCTATTACTACTATTTCCACCACTACTACTAATACTATATTATAATAATAATAATAATAATAATAATAATAATAATAATAATAATGGTAATGTCTTCTCACAGACATAATAACTTTGTCACGGTCTGACTGTGTGATTAGGACAAAACTTAGACGTTGTGTGATTAGGACAAAACTTAGACGTTGTGTGATTAGGACAAAACTTAGACGTTGTGTGATTAGGACAAAACTTAGACGTTGTGTGATTAGGACAAAACTTAGACGTTGTGTGATTAGGACAAAACTTAGACGTTGTGTGATTAGGACAAAACTTAGACGTTGTGTGATTAGGATGAGACTGATTAGACGTTGAGATGTAAGTCTCGTCCTCACCACATACTCAGACCTTGACAAAGCACTCAGGAGCGTGCGAAAGACTTGGGGTAAATTCCTTACATAAATTTCACATATGCACAAATATAGGATTTTATCAAATAATAACAATAATAATGAGAAAATCCACTGGGGCTGTGAGGCGGCGCGAACCCGCTACCAAGGCAATGCCAAGCCGCATACTCTACCACTGGGCTATCGCTGTCGTGATAAAAGTCACACAACCGGATTTGCACTGCCATCACAAGAAGTCTGGAGGCCCCTCCTGACGCCAGTCCAAGCTCACCCAAGCACTTGGGTGAAGGGCAAAGTAGTTCAACACCTTATATGCCCTAATTTAGATACACACAGAGAATCACACTAACGTGATATTTATCGATGAGAAAATCCATTTCGGTTGTGAGGCGATTCAAGGCAATGCCATGGTCGAGGGTTGAATAATAATATTGTGGCCCTATGGCCACAATATCCAAGAGTAACGCAAGTCCAACGTCATCAATGTCGATTCAACATTGAATTAACGCTTATAACATTGATTCAACGTCGAACCAAAGCCAATCTTAGATATAGTGCTCACTAGGAAGGGGGAAGATATGATCACAGCGTAAAAGATACTGAGAAAATGGACACGAATACAGTGTTCAAAATGAGAGACCCCAGTGGTGGTAGGACACGGGGAGGTTGCTAGTAACAACGATGAACCGCAGGCATGTCAAGATGTACTACTTTAGTGTAAGAATTGGGAACAAGTTATCGGGCAACAAGAAGGGTGTGTCAGGGAGAACTCTGCAAACAACTTGAAAAGAAAACACGACAAGAAAGAATAAAAGTGCGTACATTGAGTGACCAGAGGTACAAAGGCGGGGCTAGGGAGCTGATGCTCAACCAATCTCACACACACACTGAAAGCAGTTGTAAATGCCACCTCCATCCACAACTTTAATGCCAAATTCGACGAAAAAAATTCGAACGCCAGGTTAGATAAAATATAACAGGTTCAACAGGGCTAGTAGTCGGAACATGAAGAGTTAGACCTGAGTCCTCAATAGACACTGATAGGTAGGTACTGATAGGCATGGAAGAGAACTATCAGGAGAAATCACTAAGCCATTATAACTATATTACCCTTGGAAGGGATGAGGATAAGGATATGGGATGGGACGAGGGTAAGGAATGGTGCCCAACACTTGGACGGTCGGGAATCGAACGCCGGCCTGCAGGGAGCGAGACCGTCGCTCTACCGTCCAGCCTAAGTGGTTGGGCATACTGATAGGTAAGTAGTCACACTGATAGGAAGAAAGACGAGGGAACATATCAAACCTGACATCCACCGATTTCGTGGCTTTATTATAGAGGGGTTACAATCGTTCACATGCGTCTCGATCGGCAGGTGAGACCCATGTGATACCCAACCACCTGGTGATGCGTTAACAGCTGCGTCGAACATCTGTACAGAATGTTGTCCTATGCCGCATGTTTAAATACGTGAGCTCTGCTCATGGTGAACATGAGACATGCTCTCAAGGGTAGCGGGAGGGTTGTGCAGCTTAGTGTCTGCTTCATATGGAAGTTGATGGTTGATTGTACCTGAGAATTTCCTTCACACACACACACACGTACACACGGGAAGACATGATCAATACCTACAAAATTCTCAGGAATTGACAGGGTAGATAAAGATAAATTGTTTAACACGGGAGGAACGCGGACAAAGGGACACAGGTGGAAACTTAGTACCCAAATGAGCCACAGGGACGTTAGAAAGATCTTTTCAGTGTCCGAGTAGTTAACAGATGGAATGCATTAGGCAGTGATGTGGTGGAGGCTGACTCCATACCATACACAATTTCAAATGTAGATTTGATAGAGTCCAGTAGGCTCAGGAATCTGTACACCAGTTGATTGACAGTTGAGAGGTGGGACCAAAGAGTCAGAGCTCAACCCCCGCAACCACAAGTAGATGAGTATAACTAGGTGAGTACACACAATCACGCCTACTCGACTAAAAAATAAATATAATCAGTAGACATGATAGAGCTGAATATTTAGGGGAAAATCAGAGGTACAAGTATCTGAAAATCTTTCAGATACCTGTGCACTAGTATCTGAAAGGTTGAGAGAATGGATAACAAATCTGAAGTTGATCCTCTGTAAGCATAGCAAGACGAGTATCCCATTTGTGGCGGGGAGCTCTGACCTACCTGTCTTTCCGTGAGGTCGAGGGAGGCAGCGATCTCTATCCTGCGGGGTCGACAGAGATACTTGTTGAAGTGAAACTCCTTTTCCAGTTCGAGCAGCTGGGTGTTGGTGTAAGCGGTGCGAAGCCTCCGCGGAAGACCGTTCTCGTTGGACCCTGTAAACGAGAGGCTGAAGTTAGTGGAGTGAACGAGTCTGGTGTGAGGTGTTCTAGATGACGTGAGCGTCTTACATTGGTGGTGTAAGGTGTTCTAGATGTCGCTAGTATCGTATATGATGGTGTAAGGTGTCAAGGATGTCGGTACCGTCATAATTTATTTCATATACTTTGATAATCGCATTTTGATTCAAACCATGAGATGGTAATATACATTTCTGTGTAATTTTTAATTACATAGCTTCATTAGTGGAGCATTCTCAACCTTTAGTACCACAGCTGCTGGGAAGATCTGAGTGTGCTTGTGTGTGTGTGTGTGTGTGTGTGTGTGTGTGTGTGTGTGTGTGTGTGTGTGTGTGTGTGTGTGTGTGTGTGTGTGTGTGTGTCTGAGTGTGTGTGTGTGTGTGTTTTTCTGAGTGTGTGTGTGTGTGTGTGTCTGTGTGTGTGTGTGTGTGTATCTGAGTGTGTGTGTCTGTGTGTGTGTGTGTGTGTGTATGTGTGTGTGTGTGTGTATGTATGTGTGTGTGTGTATGCATGTGTGTGTGTGTCTGAGTGTGTGTGTCTGAGTGTGTGTGTGTGTGTGTGTGAGTATCTGAGTGTGTGTGTGTATGTGTGTGTATGTGTGAGTGTGTCTGAGTGTGTGTGTGTGTGAGTATCTGAGTGTGTGTGTGTGTGTGTGTGTGTGTGTGTGTGTGTGTGTGTGTGTCTGAGTGTGTGTGTGTGTGTGTGTGTGTGTGTGTGTGTGTGTGTGTGTGTGTGTGTGTGTGTGTGTGTGTGTCTGTGTGTGTGTGTGTGTGTGTGTGTGTGTGTGTGTCTGAGTGTGTGTGTGTGTGTGTGTGTCTCAGTGTCTTTTCAAAAGTTTATATTTCTCTCATTTCATATTTGTAAACATATTAGAGATGATTCAGACCTTTAGTGGGGGTTTAAATTGTCTCTCAATGATGAAATATACAGTACATTATATATAAATAGTTGCCGTTACCCTAATGTTGAAAAGGCATATGAAGAATTGTGTGAATTCCCTTAGCTTCTTTTTGACACACTGTACTCCACTTCATATAGTCTAGGGTAGCTGCACTAATGCAGATGTACCTAATATGTTAATAAAAAAAAAAAAATGCTGTGTGTTTTTGGAGCTAGAAACAAAGATTATGCTGTTATCATATCCCCCGTCCAGACGAAGATACCAGAGTTCAAGTCAAGCTAGGGTAAGTGCCTTGGAGAAGGTGTAAAGAGATCAATGCCAAGAGATCCTCATAACATATTTAAAACAATATTTCCATGTTGAAAACACTGGTTTAAAAGCTTTATAATGAACGAGGTTACTAACACCTATCGTAGCATTATCTTGGTGACCAGATGACACAGGTAACCTATGCTTGTTGTTGGCACATGAGCGATGAGGCTTGCATTCTCCAGGTGATGGTGTCAGTCTTCTCTCACTTCTGTGGTGCTGGTGTATTTATCAGTTAGCATAACATTAGGCTGACGCAGGAGCCGGTCCCGGAGCGGCTGTCTCGAGATGTGTTTACACTCATTAGTATAACAAAATACACCCGTACATCAGAGAAGTTGACTTGTCAACACACACACGCTAGTTGTCCCTCCTGACCACTGGAGTCAATTGGTCTCTTACGTACATCTGCCAGTTGTGCACACTTGCCTATTACGCACACCTGCCTATTACGTTCACCTGCCTATTACGTACACCCTCCTATTACGTACACCTGCCTATTATGCACACTTGCCTATTACGCACACCTGCCTATTACGTACACCAGCCTATTACGTACACCAACCTATTACGTACACCTGCCTATTATGCACACTTGCCTATAACGCACACCTGCCTATTACGTACACCTGCCTATTATGCACACTTGCCTATAACGCACACCTGCCTATTACGTACACCTGCCTATTATGCACACTTGCCTATAACGCACACCTGCCTATTACGTACACCTGCCTATTATGCACACTTGCCTATAACGCACACCTGCCTATTACGTACACCTGCTCATTGCGCAATCTTAGCCATTCCTGCCTCTAACGCACACCGTGTGCTATTGTAACGATACTTACCCAAATAGATATTGATGTATCCTTTATTGTGTTGAAATATTTGAGCCTCCATGATGCTTCCTGTGATTATATTGATGATCCTCGAGACAACCGACGTCTCTGCTCGGCTCACTTGATATTTCCTGGACAACACGTTCGCTGTTATCCTCAGATTTATGCCTAAGGTTATTATTTTCTCGATATACTCAAATAATATACACTTCGTCTGACTTAAACTTCCGATCAAGTGCATCTGCTAAATCAAGTTGCTGTTTCAGTATCAAGAACACTCGATAACGGTGTAATACGAGTGTACGGAGTCTCTGAATCACAGGAATATCACGTCACTGAAACCTAGGCTTCCCCTCGCTGCTGAGGAAACCTAGGTATCCTCTCGCTGCTGAGGAAATGCACGAATGAAGGGGTGTAGGGGCTGAGGCAGCCACTCAGCTCACCCTGGTCTCACTTGCACAACTAGTCGTACTGCAGCACCAACTGTACTGAGCTTCCCGCAAACCCCAACACCTGTTAGTCTCGTACGCTGAGCACCTGGTCCCGACACTCCCTCAGCCGTTAATAATATATATATATATATATATATATATATATATATATATATATATATATATATATATATATATATATATATATATGGACGAATTTGTCTTTCCGTCTGTCTGTTCATAGTTGGAGGCAAGATGATTGGGATTAGTATCATCCAACTTTGCAAGGTGACTGGTCTAGAATATGGGACGGACATAGGATGGTCCGGGTTGGTCCTATTAAAAGGGGTTCGGGCCGAATAGTTCCCCCCCTTCCCCCCCTACCATTCATAATTGGTGAACGGTGGCTGGCCGAGTCCCTAGACTTCGTCATTCCAAACGATGAACGTAAATTCCTTATTACATTCTTTGAGACAGAGAACGGAGAAGGAATGAGAGAGGGGAGGGGGGAGGGGAAGAGATTGGGAGAGCGGGTAGAGAGAAGAGAGGGCAAAAGGTGTGAAAGGCTAGAAAGTGGGATGTTATGGGAGAGTGGGGGGAGAGAGGTGGATAGAGGGGGTAGAAGGGAAAGATTGGAAAAAAGGGTGGATAGAGAAGGAAAGAGGAGAGGAGAGGTGAGGAGAGGAGAGGAGAGGGGATATTTGAAGCGAGGAGGATAGGGAAACAGAGATGAGAGAGGTAGAGAGGAGAGGGGTAGAAGGTAGGGAAGAGAGTCATTGGGAGGAAGAGGGGAAAGTGGAAGGGGGGAGAGTTGAGGGGGGAGAGGGGAAAGGGAAGTGAGGTCTGGACGCAGCCGAGTACTCTGTCTAGTCAACATAGATAAGAGAAAAGTGTCCAAGGATTGAGTCCAGACGTTTGGGGCTAGTGAGAGGTGTTAGAGAGAGTGGAGATGCTGGGAGAGGGGTGAGAGTGGACAGTAAAATATTAGAGCGAGAAGGAGAAGGGGAGAGAAGAGGAGAGGAGGGGCTAGAGGGGAAGAAAATTAGAGAGTGGGAAGATAGGGAAATAGAGAGAGAGAGAGAGAGAGAGAGAGAGAGAGAGAGAGAGAGAGAGGTAGGTGAGGGGGCTGCGTGGACACGTTTGTGACACACAATGCGGGTTGGTGAATATGGAAGGATGACACTTTGCAGGCAACGAGAAGACAGGTAGGTATGTGGTGGCTGGGGACCCGGTGTTGAAGACATTCATATTATTGGCTATTAATAGAGGGGAAAATATGACAGAATAATTATGAATATTTTTGTGGACATCAATATACATCAGGAAATAATTTAATCTTTTTAGTACGATTTTTGCATGATTCGTAAGGGTGGGGGTTGCTTTTTGCACCATGCCAAGTGACACTCGTTTCATTTATGTCAACCCCCCCCCCCACAACCTGTTTTTATTTGACACATACCAGCAGCAATTACTTACAAACTGGAGGAGTTACAATAGCCCTAAGGGTCTGGCCTTCAACCTCGGACTGACAGACAGACACAGACAATCTAATGTATAGATGTTTATTAATTCTAGTACAATTGTCAACACTTACTGTTGGAGTACTGTCTCTGCGCAGGTACCCCGGGCGAGACATCTGTCAACAGAGGAAAATAGCATTAAGACTGAGACACAACTGCTGGCAATACCATTTTATATCACTGATTCACTCATATGATAATCTTCTATAATAATGAAGCAGAAAAATGTGTGTGTGTGTACTCACCTAGTTGTACTCACCTAGTTGTGTTTGCGGGGGTTGAGCTCTGGCTCTTTGGTCCCGCCTCTCAACTATGTGTGTGAATATGTGTGTGAGTGAGTGTGTGTGTGTGTGTGTGTGTGTGTGTGTGTGTGTGTGTGTGTGTGTGTGTGTGTTCTTTCTGCCAGATATTTAGAAACAGCTAGAACTGAACAAAACTTTACGTGGCTTCCCCATTTGACCCAAATATGGTCATGGTCTATAAACTATACGGTATCTCGCTTCTGGACTCGGCTTTCAGCGACAATTGTTTTGTTTTATTAGCTACGTTCGAAAATTTATCGAAAGGGCTTTATAATTCCTATGTCTAAAGTTCAGCATTTCTAAATTCCTTACTCATGTTCTGCAAATACAAATAATTTACAGCCCTTCTCTGTTAATACCATTGTCTTCGTATCCATGTGTGAAGCTTTTGTAATTGTCTACCATGATAGTCGTCGTCTTAATTCATGTTTTAAAACTGAAAACCGATTCCAGAGACCATAGATTCTAAGAAAATTAACAGATTTATGGGAGAATCAACGAATTATAGGTCCCTGGGAGGACTCCAGGGGCCTATAATGGATGGGCCATAGTAGTGAGGCTGTTACAGTGACGGAGATCATCTGCAACAATGATGTAACCTTCGAGATCCAGATTCTGAGAAAACCCCAGAGGCCCCGAGGCGTCGGCTATTGTAGTGAAGATATTTAAAT